TGTTTAGTAACCCGAAAACTTCAGCTCTAGAGCTGAAGTTTTCAAGTTATAAAATAAAAACTTGCCAGTTATAAAATAAAAACTTCAGCTTTAGTAACCTGAAAATTTCAGCTCTGAAGTTTTTGTTTAGTAACCTGAAAATTTCAGCTCTAGAGCTGAAGTTTGCTAGTTATAAAATAAAAACTTCAGCTCTAGAGCTGAAGTTTTTGTTTAGTAACCCGGAAACTTCAGCTCCAGTTATAAAGGGAAGCTGAAGTTTTTTAAAAAGTGGGTACGAATGCAAACAAAAAGACAAAGCGGCTACATGCAATTTTTATAATAAAGCATTTGCTTTAGGCCCCCAAGCTCTTGGGGCCCCAAAAAATTAGTACTCCTGTAGTTAATTTTTTTAGCTTAATCTTTTAATAGAAAATATTGAATTTGGTAGTGAAAAGAGTGCAAAACTTTTATAAGGAAAGAAGTGGCCAAAAAGGATTAGTTCTAAAAGGAGATACGGATATTACATTTCATTTTCATTTTTAAAGTCATAGTTTCCTAATTTCTCTTTGTAATTATGCTTTTCTCTTCTTTTTATATATGCGCTACATATTTGTCAAACAGAAAAAATAAAGCACGTTGAATAACTTGAACTGCAATTCTATTTCATTCGTTTGAAAGTTTTCAAGCATATCAAAGTAAACAAAGTAAAATTAACTTATTTTGTTATCAATTATCAGGTTATCAACTTCTAGTATCGGATTTTATTATTAAGAGTTTTTATTGTTTTTTTAATTGTGATATTTTTATTTTCCAATCACTATTATAGTACTATTATACTAGCAATACTATAGTATTATTGGAAATATCAGGTTCATTGCGCTCGTTTTTATCATTCATTATAGAGCATTACTTTTCTAACTTTCTATGCATCATTTTCAGATAATTGCGTGATAGCGACAAAAGAATTATGTACAGAAAACCTAAGATTTTGAGGGTCTGAGGTAGGGTAATTATTATTTATTCTTGGGACAAACTATTAATGTTATAATAGTAGATGGAAATATAATACTAGTTCGAAGCAAACTTTAAAAGGTGAACGCTTTGGAATGCTGCAGTAGGCCATAAGCAAAGACTAATATAAATGATTTTTTACATAATTACTGGAAAAAAATTGTCCCTGTGTACAGTGACAGATTCAGAATTTTTAACTCGTGGGTGCTCAATTATTTTTCCTCTAAAGTTGCTACAAAGATTGGGTGCTCAATTAATATATTTATGTGAATAACTAATTTTTCTATCTAAATAATAGTGTTTGGTTCCAAAGTTAATTAATGGGTGCTTGAGCACCATAACCTTAAATGTGGATTTGCCATTGCCTGTGTAACATAGACATAATGCACGGGATCGAACCGTAGAATCATCCACTATACTTACATTAATGTAAGCTGCTTATATCACATGTCCTGAGGATGCATGCGGCCATTCTTCGGACCCCACATGCTTTTAGCACCGAGCTACCGTCTTAGTGGAGATTAACCTACTCTAACCTCCAATACTTATAATCTAAGGATTTGACTAATCTTTAAAGCTAAATTGGATTAGATTTTCTTAATAGTTTAAAATTAAAATTTATATATTCGGAAATTATACCAAAAGTATATAATTTGCTATTCGTCTCATATCAATATGGTGAAATAATACATGTTAATTAAACGTTGGTCAAAATTTATGTATTTGACTCTCGAAAAGCAAAATATAACAAGTAAAACTGAACGAATGGAGTAATTTATAGCTGATACTGGAACTTAAAGTATGATCCTAAATAAAAGAGAGTAACAACCACTACCTAGAGTTTAACAAAATAGAAATATAATAGCTGAAAACTATGTAGAGAAAAAGAAAAGCACCAAAAAGAGAAACAAGGTTTCCTTAAAAACTCTATCTATCTAATCCTATTTTGCTTAAGCTTCATCTGCATCATCATTTTCTCTTGACATTTCTTCAAGAGATTTCCCTTTAGATTCAGGAACCAAGAAAGTAAACAATGTACCCAAAAGATTAACAAATCCCAACACAATAAGAGAATTCTTCACTCCTATACCAGCAGTGTACCCTTCATCAACCTTACTCTTATCTTGTGGCTGAGCCAAATATAAAAACCCGAAAGCACCAACCATTGCCCCTAATTTTCCTGCTGCAGCCGATATTCCATGACACGTGGAACGTAATCTAGCTGGAAATATCTCAGCTGGCACGACAAATGTGGTTGAGTTAGGTCCAAAGTTTGCGAAAAAGAATGTCAGTGAGTACAGGACAACGAATCCGATACGATTGTTGGGGTGTGTCCAATGGTTATAAGGAATGGCTAAAGCAAACATGAATGCTGTCATCATAGAAAAACCAAGTAATTGAATAGTAAACCTCCCAATTCTATCAATTAAAAAGACTGTGAACCAATACCCTGGCACTGTACTACATAGAGCAATAAGTGTTTGTGCTCTAGCAATTTTGAAAACTTCTTGAATTGCATTCATAGTATTGGCAGGAGGAATCCATCCAATTGCACTAAAGATATCTTTTTGGAACAAATTTTGGCTATAAAATGCAATATCAAGAAGAAACCATGTACTTGTTGTGCCAAGTAAATGAAGTCCATGTCGACGAAGAAATTCTTTAGAAAATAAACCAAAATCATTGCCTGATTTTCCTCTAGTTGTAACAGCAATTTTTGGCTCTTCTTTTTGTTCTGTTTCAATATCAACTTGCATTACTTTTTCCATATCTGCAGTTGCTTGTTTTACATTCTTGGCAACTAATGCAGTGTAACGAGCAGTTTCTGGCATTTTTGTTCTCCAATAGTAAGTGAGAAGTGCAGGAAGTGCTCCAACCATTAATATAATTCTCCAAACATAGTCTGCTTGTGGAACAGTTGAACCAATTGGATCAACCTGTAAAAAGTTACTCATGTAGACCAATAATTACTTTAATAAATTGGCTAAATTTCTATTAGCTATATGGGGATCGGAGAGAATCAACATCTCTAAAAGGATCAAAGTTGATAGTGATTTCTACTCAACACTGTTCAGGTCACGGGTTCGAGCCGTGAACACAACCTCTTGCAGACATGCAGGGTAAGGCTGCGTACATTCTCGGATCCCGTCCATAGGGAGAGCTTAGTGCACCGTGCTGCCCTTTACTGTTTAAGAAAGCTCCGATGGATGTTTTCTATTGTTAAGAGTATCTGCGAGCCGTTTTAATTAGCCCAACATTTTCTTAGTTAAATCTTCTATATATGCTATGTACAGTTCGATGAAAATCGTAGAGTTCCACGATCCTAAAGTCATATAAGCATTTATGTTAGGTTCTTTATATTTTCAGGCTAAATATGACAAACTTCAAACACAATGTACCTTGTATGGAGGAGCCTTAAATCGGGCCTCGAATATAGCAGAGACCAGGATGGCGAAGATTCCTCCACCCAGAATACCGAATCCTTGCATAGCGAAAACAGCAGCAATAAAAGCACCCCTAGTCTTTTTATTAGCATATTCAGACATAATAGTAGCTGAAAGAGGGTAATCACCACCAATACCAAATCCTAGCCAGAACCTGAAGAAGCAAAGTGTGGCTAATACTGTCTTTGGTTCTTTACCAAAAGAAAGACCAGAACCAATGGAACAAAGACTCATGAGCATTAGTGTTATGCCATAGACTTTTTTCCTGCCCAATTTGTCACCAAGCCAACCAAAAAAGAGTTGCCCTGCATTACGGAATAGATCCAAGATTTATATTTAATAAGTTCGACATGTTCCAAATTTAACGTTGATTGGAATTTTAGTGATGGGGAGCCTTGGCGTAACTGGTAAAGTTGCTGCCATGTGACCAGGAGGTCACGAGTTCAAGCCGTGGAAGCAGCTTCTTGTAGAAATGCCGGGTAAGGCTGTGTACAATATACCTTTGTAGTCCGGCCCTTCCTCGGACCCAGCGCATAACAGGAGCTTAGTGCACCATGCTGCCTTTTGAAATTTTAGTGAACTTTCACATGTATATATATTTATGATATGTATACAAAATACTGAGTCCAATTGAACATTCTGTTAAAAGATAACGTAGTTGTCCTAAGATGAGCTCAACGAGAACAGAAATCTCACGTAGAACACTAGGATAAAAGCTCGTTTAATTTTGATTTCCCGTACGAATACAGGAAATGTAAGCTACATATTCCGGCCTTACCTGTAAGGGTTCCACAGAACGCAACTCCATTAACAGCTGCTGAAACACCAGGAGGTAAAGATCCAGGTTTTGGAGAGCCATCAACATGATAGTAAATTCGGCCAAGTAATTTAGTGACTAAAGAAATGCAGAAGAGATCATAGGCATCTGTGAAAAATCCCATCCCAGCAATAATAATTGCAGTGAAATGATACCATTGTGTTTTTGCTGCATCTAGTGCATTCAAAACCTTTAGATCCCCTGCCATTTTATCTAATTCTTCTTCACTCTTCTCTTCTCCTTTGATCTAGCTGCATTTCAAATCAAGAACATTCAATAATCAAAACAAATTCGCCAACGAAAGATCAAGATCATAAAAGAATAATATTTCATCTCTTACATTTTATATGACACTCTTTCTTTTTTCAGTCTGTTCCACAAAAGAGTGACGAGTTTTGTACATTTGGAAGCTCTTTGACTTTTATTTCTAAATTTAAGGTTAATTACATGTTTTTAAATCGTAAAAGGCAATTTAAGCATAAGGAATGTTCAAGAAAACATGTGTCCTCTCTCCCATGCACTAAGATCCCATAGTTAATTCTCAGCTCCACGAAAAATAAGATTTCCTATCAAGGCGCCTGAGATAAATCCTAGGCCAGTACCATCGATACGTATGGGACATGTTGTGGATTCTAGTTGTTTCATTAGTGTCTTACTTTTTTTTACATTTTTAATATATCTGTTTCAAAAGAATGTCACATTCTGTATTTAATAAGTAATTATTTTCACATTCTCGTTTTACCTATGATGACTCTCCCTTATAGTTAAATGGAGTAGTATTTTTGGCATGTTATGCAATTCTTTAATTTAAGACTGAAAGATCCAAATTATAAGTATTGCTTATATTCTTACGTGGTGTCTAGTCAAATTAACACGAGCAAGATTTAAGAATAACAATATATTTGATGGATAGTGGCATAAATCAATAATAAAATACCATTTTCTTTAATCAAAGTAAAAAAGTTGAAATATGTCTTTATTCTCAAAATAAAGACCAAAATTAAAGAACGTGAATTTCCCTTGCATGCAAAAGAACAAAGCAGAATCTTGATTTACGTATCAAGAAGCTAAGGACACATGCATGCAAAAAGAAGCAAATATTTAGAGCTAATTCATGACAAGACTGACCTGCTATTGCTAGAAAAATGGTGGAGAAAGAGAGAGCAGAGAGATTCAGTCTAATTTTCCCTGTGTGGGGAACGAGAGATTTAATTAAGCTTAGGGAGATGATTAATTAGAGAGATTTAGAGGATTAAGTGAGTGGTAAATGGTGAAGGATGGTGAATCTTTATATATGCAATAGTCACCCCCTAAAGTGGGATCTTCTCCCGGATATTCCCCTACTTTTACGTGCCCGGTCAATATGCGATCCTATTTTTACATGTTATATATCTAGAAAGAGTTTAACTTCTGACCATTTAAAAAAAAAAAATTATGCTATTAAATTAACTAAAATAGTAATTATAGTACCCTTCCTAGAAGGTGGTTATAATACTAGGTGCTCAGGTGTATTTATTTGTTTGTTAATGGTAATATTTTACATTTATTATAAAAAAAGGAAGTAAACTCTATAAAAAATTTAAGATGAGTAATAAATTAAGTTACATGCTTATATAACAAGTTAAAGTACATTATTGTTAATCTTACATAGAGCATTACGGCCAAAATTTTACGGTATAGCCAGTTTTTGGACTGGTCAATCAAAAATAGCCAGCGTTTACCAAGTCAATAAAAAATAGCCACCGTTTTGCTGCAATAGAGACCGGTCCAGCATAATATACTGGAGTTCGGTGCACTTGTGTATGAACTCCAGCATATTATGCTGGACCGGTATACTTTGCTGGCTCCAGTATAATATACTGGAGACTGGAGCACTGGTGCTCCAAACTCCAGTATATTATACTGGACCATTATACTTGCTGGAACTCCAGTATATTATGCTGGAGTTCTAGTGTATTTATGCTGGAACTCCATCATATTATGCTGGAGTTCCAGCATACTATCCTGGAACTCCAGCATAATATACTGGAGTATTTTCCGGGTTTTGAACAGTATTTTCGCTCAGATTTATCTTTACATAAAAAGTGGCAAAATTTCGATTACTTTTGAAATTGGGCTATTTTTGAACGACTAGTTATAAATCTGGCTATTTTTAAAAATCACCCAGCATTACACTGCCACAGTGTCGTTGGATCTTCTTGGAACTCTTTCCTTATTGGTCATTATATATAGCACAAGAGAACTTGGGTAGATATAATTGTTTAGAATTATTTTATTACACACAATATAATCACATACAAGTCAGGTGGTGTACTATTTATTATTATACAAAAATTCCAGTAAGCTTAGAGCTTGAAAAACTGAAGTAGAGCTTCAAAATTGCCATTATTTGATGTATAGATGTTCAAGAACTCCTTATACTGGTAAGCTTTGTACCACCAGAAACTCGAGAATGACACTTTTTAGCTGATTGTTACTGATAATCTGCAACATATAACAAAATATGAAGGAAAATCAATACTTCTATTCAATTAGGATAATGATTTAACTAATTTAAACCGATGCCGTAAATGATCTTTACACTAATAGTAGTATTTTAACATGTGATAATAGATAACATATCTTATTTTTAAGTAACTAACACTAACAGAAATCCGGAAAAAAGCGACCAACAATTTGTGACCAAAATTGGTCTGTCAAGAAAAGCGACCAAAGTTGGTCGCTAAAGTGGGACCCAGTTATAAAATTTTAATAATTATATTATTATTTTAAAAAAATTATAAAATATAAATAAATATAATTTAAAATTAGCGACCAAAGTTGGTCGCTCACGAAAGGGGAAGCAGATAGAGACCAACTTTGGTCGCTAATCTGGGACCCAGTTATAAAATTTTAATAATTATATTATTATTTAAAAAAATTATGAAATATAAATAAATATAGTTTAAAATTAGCAACCAAAGTTGGTCGCTTACGAAAGGGGAAGCAGATAGAGACCAACTTTGGTCGCTAATCTGGGACCCAGTTCTAACGTTTAACGATTATATTATTATTTTAAATATTATATAAAATATAAATAAATCCGATTTAAATTTAGCGACCAACTTTGGTCGCTAATTTTAATTTCTGGATAATTAGCGACCAAAGTTGGTCTCTTTTCAGGTCAACATTGGTCAAAATTAAAAATCACTTTTGTATTTACTATCTTAATAATATAAATGTAATCCGTTAACACTTTTGTTGGATGAACACACTAAAATATACTCTAACATGCTATATATGTAGTTAAAGTAGTACAACGAAGCGTGTTTTATATATATATATATATATATATATATACATATATATATATATATATATATGTATGTAAATTGATTCATCGACTTATAACCTACTCAGATGCATCGTTGAATATTAAAAACAAACGTCTCGACTTATATCAATTAATCTGTTATAATGATTCATCGACTTATAACCTAGTGATGAATGAATGTAATTCATTAACTCTGTTACAATACAAATAATGAATACAATATCATGTACTATAACATGCTATATATGTAGTTAAAGTAGCACGAACTGTGTGTGTTATATATATACACACACTAACATATACTATAACAAGTTATGTATACGTTATAGTATTACAGTGAAGTGTATGTGTGTGTGTGTATGTGTGTGTATGTCTATATATATAGAAGCGCTCGGAACACAGGGCCGGGTTCTTTTAGGTATTGATACACTTGTAAATTGATTCATCGACTTATAACCTACTNTCTATACCAAGCCTGATAATCAGGAGACACTTCTCCTTTGGCTCGATCTCGAACACAAGTGTTTGCCGCCAAATATTGACATTCGCTCCAACCTGGCGGACCATTGCTTCAGGAAACTGGCCATCAGGGCCAATCTCAACCACTTGCAAACTAAGATCATCATCCTTGGGTACTATCTGGCATCTCCCCAGCTGTCTCAACACTCGATACGGGGCGTAAGGCTGAATGCTTCTAAGCCCCATCAGAAGGAAATGTGGTCGGGCTGCCGGCATGTATATGATTTCATCAACGGGTAACCATCCCAGTGTCCACTCTATTTGGCTAGCAGTGAGGGACCGAAATATGTTGTCCAACCCGTGACTCCTTCCGGCAATTTGGCCCCTTTAATCCTCGTGTAAAACTCTTCTATGCATGTTTTTTCTGGAGACCCGTAGCTCAAAAACTGAGGACGATGACACAGATGCTCGATCATCCACATTTGTAACAATAGACTGCACCCCTCGAAGAAAGCTTCCCCGGCCTTGCAGGCTGTAAGAGCACGGAAGATATCGGCCAATATCATAGGTGCAAGTGTACTTTTGGCTTGAGTATAACGTGCTGACGACCCCAGCTATTTTTATGTCAATGTTCCCATCCTTCCTTGGAAATACTAAAAGCCCCAGGAAAGCCACCATAAAGGCGAAACGTCGATGCTCCTCCCACTTCTGGCGGTTTCCTTTGCTACATATCTTACTTTCTGGGTTGTTGAACCCCCCGATATGGCCATATCGATGATATATGAAGCTCAGAGTACAAAAGCCATTTGCCAGATCTGTGTTATGGACGGTTCTGACTATCTTCAAAGAGTCTAGAAATCTGTGCACGGCTACAACTCTGGGGGCAACCAAGTATTTGTGCCTCAACGGAACCTCATCTTTCCCAATGTAGCCAGCTATTTCCTCTAATGTCGGGGTAAGCTCAAAGTCCGAAAAATGGAACACATTATGTGCTGGGTCCCAACATGTAACTAATGCTCTAATAATATCTCCCCGAGGCACAATATCGAGCAAACCGGTAAGCCCTTTCAAATGTTTCTTGACTGCATCTTGCCCTTCTCCGCCTAAATCGTTCCACCACAGACGTAACTCCAAAGGGATTTTATGCATGATTGAAAATAATTCATTTTGAGTCGTGCTCATCCTGCACATTTATTAAGGTGATTTTAATCACTTATTTTGACCTAAAAGAGAAGAATGGCACAATCTTTGTTCAAATTTCCAATTTAAACAAACAGCCGGTATTGCGGATACGGCCTTTCAGCACTTCATAAAGAAGATAAGGCTGTGCCTGCTAACTGTTAAAAAATGACTCAGGGTGGCTGTTCTTGCAAAAACAGCCTTCCGGCGCCCTTTTGGGGACATTCGGCTTATTTTAAACAAGAATGGCAGCACCCGACTTATTCATGATGAAATTAAAAATTTTGGCATTTTTTGGCTATTTTTTGAAAAAGGGGAGGTTGGACCCGATGAGGGTTGCCTACGTATCTCACATCCGGTGAGAATCAAACCTGCGTAGTTCGGGCAAATAAACCTAACTATTTGAAAAACATGACTCTTTTGTTTTTTGTTTTTGTTGGCAAATACACTATTTCTGAAATCAAGACTCTTTTTTTCTATTTTCTTTTCAGTGGCAAATAAACAAACTAATTTGAAAATAAAACTCTTTTTTGTTTTTCCATTGGCAAACAAAACAAACTAAAAACTACTTTTCTTCTTTTTCTTTCATTTTCGCAAAAAAAATCCGACAGCATTTCGGCACTACTTGGACATTGGTTTTCTAATATAGGTAATTAACTCTCTACACTGCTATTTTCTCTTTTTCTCTTGTTTTTGTTTTTTTTTTCAATTTTTCCCAGATATTCAAAGCCGGTCAGCATGCGAGTCCCAAACAGATAAATGCACAAGTGAGATGCATCAGGATGGTCCATTATTCCGGGTACACCTGTCCTAGACGGACCCAACCCCTGTGTTGAGTCCCCTAAGTCAAAATGCACGTGATGCAGATAAGCGTTCCTACTAGGGATCCGGCATGAAGTCAAGTTATTCTAGGTTCAAAACCTGGGTATGTGTTCTAGACTGTGTACCCGAGCGGACAACTCGAGTCGAGGAGGGGGCTACGTACCGGGAACCAAAAGGCCATCCGGCTTAGTAACTTGTCCGGCCTCTTTCTTATTTCAAGGTATTGACACTAACAGAATAGGGAGTCTCCACCAGTGAGCACATCCCCGAAGGTGAGAGGAGAAGGGTTTCGGCACAGTTTATATATACAGTTCAAATAATATCAAAGCGGTAAAGCATTTAGCACATTTAGCATGAAGCATGTAGGAAAATCAGATATAACCAAATACAACAATTATTCTAAGCTCGAATTCTGAACCCTGAACCAGAGATTCTGGGTTCGATCCCCAGCAGAGTC